GACGCATCAAGAATTAAAATAGTGATGCGCAGCAACACATTTTCGGCGCAAGCGATGCAGACAAGCACTGAAAAATAGCTGCTGGCTGTTTATGATATGCGTGCGCGAATGAAGCCTAAAATCATCCGCCCTTGTACAGCCTGTTAGAACGACAGATAAAATTAAATGAAGCAATCCAATTCCCGCAAATCGCAATAGGATTTATGGCTCATGCAAAGCATTTCTGAATCTAACATGCGCATGCAAATATCAAAATGTCACTATGAACGTGAACAACTACAGTTCTATATAGTTGTATAGTAGTGTAGTTCTATACACACTTACCTCACTCCAGGAGCTGGTGCAGGACAAAATAAGAGAAACTGTTGCTAAAATAGCCGAGAAATCCATTGCTGTGTTTCACAAGGCTGATAGTAGGAAATGAATTACAGACCTCTTGTCCAGCGCTTATAAATATCGCGGGGCACGTTGCATCATGGTTACTACAGTCAACGTCAGAAATCTCGGCCAAAAATTGAGAGCTAAGAGACGAGTTTGTTCAACCTAACAGAGCATGCGTGGATTGTAAATGCTGACGTGTGCTGAATATTAATTAGGCAACTATTAAATTATTTCAAAATAATTTTTTTTCCAGATATTTATTGATAAGAAAAGGCTAAAGCTCCCAAAAGAATATAAGATAACTCGAAAATGATGAAACTTGTTGGCGTGTTATGAGGACGAAAACGATGTAAATATTGTGAGCTAAGATTTTATATTGACAACATGACATGAATTCCCCTTGAACAAATCTTTTGAAATTTTGCTCATTATAATATTTAACAGTACAATGAAGGAAGTCAACCGGACGATGTTATTGGATGATTGCTAATGCCAAAAAGTCATTGTTCCTCTCTGCACAAGTTTGCATAAACATGCATGGTTGAAACTGAAGCCAGAGCAAAGACTGTGACGACGTATTTCAGGTCATAATTATGTCTACAACAGCATGGCATGTGTGTGTGTGTGTGTGACAGATGTAAAGGCATGAAAAGAAGTTCATATTTGCAAGGGGGATGTTGTAGCAGAAAATTCAAGAGGTTAGCACAGTTTACGAGGTTGGTACGTTTAAAATTCAAATATTTAAGCTGTGAGAGTTGACAAGAATTGAAAAGCGAGTCTGTTTACATGCATGCAGCTCCAGAGTTTTCTCCGCAACTTTTTCATTCAGCGGTCAAATGAAAACAAAAGTTGCGTGGAAGTTGATAAGTGACGGCTGGGTATTACTGGTAATTAAAACGAGCAAAAACTTTCATTAACTATATCATTAAAATTTTAAACCGGCTCAAAGTCGATTAGGGTTGATGAGAGTAGGTGACATGGCTGGCGGTTAAACGCGAGCAACAGTTGGAACTTTGGTGCTCGTGTGAACTCCTTCGGACTTACTTGATTGTCATGCAAGCATTAAAAGAACTTATCAATTCACAATTCATTGAAAAATGATCCCCTATATTCCTAAGTCAGGCCTGGTCTTAAGTGGCGTATACCTGCTAATACTGTCAACAGCTAAATGTAAATACCGTCTTTCAATTCGTATGCGGGCAAAAAGCATGGCACGCGTGCATATATGATCATTGATCATGCATGTACAAAATAGGATAACTCCCGTTTGGCAAAATGCTGCGAACAAATACAAGCGTTGAAGAGTATTCATTAAGACATAAAACACTTCCGGTGTGTATTTCATGCTTAGTGATTGGGGCTGTGTGGTTGAAAATGCTAGCCTTCAGAGGACCAAGATAATTGAATAAGCTGTATATAGTCGTTTTCAAATCACGATCTGTGCAGATCAAAAGCTAGCTTAGCCTATTTGAATTCGTTAAACGTGCTTGGTGTTTCCAGAAAATAAAAGAAACCAGCGATATACATTTTCACCGTGTGAACATATATATAGTACAAATAATGGTTAATACTAAAATAACTAAAATACACTGAAATTTGCAACATATTAACTTAGTTTTATTTAAACTAAGTTAATATGTTAATTTATAATAACAACATTTCACATAAAAGAATTTAACACAAAAATACATTTTCTAAATCTCAAGAATTGTATTGGTTTTATACATACAGTACAGTATAGTTTATTGATTTCATGCAGTTTCAGAGTGAATTAACTTACGAAATTAATATCTGAATGGCTTTCAAAACAGTAAATTATAAATGTAAACATTAGTATTTATGTTGCCAACACAAATTAGAGTTCTGGACTACGTCAACAAAATAACTAGAAATAATTAGAAACCAAAAATCATAAAGAGATTAGGATCCTAATCAGAAACATGTAAAATCACAAAAATCTTTTACCAATCAAATTATGTACCAATCAGCGGTTTAACCGGGGGGGGGGGTATGGAAGTATCATGCAGGTATGCCCACAGGATTTGACATTATAAAATCAATTTTCCCCAGTCGGGGGGCTACCTTTTTTGCGGGTCAAAGTATGTCAACTTTTCTGACCCAGAGTCGTCTGGTGGAAACAATGACGTAAAGCACCTCAGAAATAGCAAAATTATAATAGCAAAAAGGTTTTACTGAAATTTCCACACAATTTCCATCATTTTTCTAATCCATGAAAAATATCCATTTCACTTCAAAAATGCCATAAAATATGGAAATTTGTCTGAGAGTAGAAATCATTCCCCCTCGTTCCAGACATCAAAACAAAGAAATGGCGACAAATCACGGAAATCAAGGAAAATTACAGAAAAACCACAGACGATATGCTGTAGTGATGATTAATCATCCAAGGGGAAACAGGTCTCGTCAAATACCATGCATGGGTACGCCCGTTACTCCCAACTCCCCCCCCCCTCACCTGGGGCAAACTGCTGAGTGGTTCATTAATGTTCCAGATCAAACTAAACTAAACTCAAGTCATGCATAGCACTATTGAGAAATAGTCAGGCAGATGAAAAAACTCACCGGCCCAATCAGGGGGCATTTCTATTTTGCCTTCATCTTGTGCCTTTAAGGCTACCAAGTACATTTATGTATGTCGGCGGGCATTCATATTTCTTGCGGCCTTTTGCCAACACATTTTTCTTCAACACTAACCAATCAGATTGCAGAACAAAAATAGAAATCGAATCAAACTACAGCTCGTTCAATCAAAAGAAAACACGGAGTTCGCTTCAGGAAGCCATTTATAATTGCATTGTTTACTTTTCAAGTCTATTTATACCGTTTGACATTCGTTCATTTGTTAAAATTGTTTTTGGCATAATGCTGATTGGCTAATTCGCCGTTTGTTGATTTTTCTATTTTGTTCTGCAATGTTGTTCTCTAAGTGGCCCCACTTACTGTAGACGCACTGTAAACATGGGCGTACCGGAAGGAAAAAATTAGGGGGGCGGAAAGAAATTTGCCCGACTTTTTCGGACTGTGCCCGACCAGTGCCGAAAATATTTTTTCCCGGAACAATTAATTTTGGCGACCTCACCCGCGCCCCCCGTCGCCAAAAATTTTCGGTCAGTGTACCATTTTAGGGGTCCAAAAATTTTTCGGACATACCAAAATTTTTTGGAACATCAAACAAATTTTCCCCAAAATCGCAAGATTTACATAATTTCCCGCAAAATTGCCAGAATTTGTCCCATTTATTTTTATGATAACCCAATATTGCCCGACTGTGAAGCGAATATTGCCCAACTGGCTTTGTTTGCCCAACAAACTGGGGTTATTATTAAGAGAGATTTTATTGCTTTGTCCGACTTCTGTTGAACATTTGCCCGACTTTTGTTGAACATTTGCCCGACTTTTCGACTTTGTTATCTTTTTGGGGGGGCAGCTGCCCCCTGCCTCCCCCCCCGTCCCGCACGCCTATGACTGTATCCATGCATTTATAGAAAAACTACCTTGCATTAATTAGAAAACTTACAAAAACCTATACCGGGTGGCGCAAAAAAAAGTTCACGCGTTTGATTTAGTACAGCGAAAAAACTATAAGTGTTACGTTCCTCAAATAAATGTTATCCTATCCAGGAAGGCCTAACTTAAATTTTTATGTATAACACATGCATTTTTGTTTAGTATTACCCAAGATATTGGTAAATCAATTTGAATATGCAATTTCAAA